GTGTTCGGGGAAAAGAAAATATATATTTAACATGATACAATCAAAGATAAAAATAAAATGATAACCTCCTTAATTTAGTTAATTTTAAAAATAAATAATTATGTACCAAAAAAAAAAAAAAAAAAAAAAAAAAAAAAAAAAAAGATATTAAGGACATATTAGGAATTAACTAAATAAACATACTCAGTTATTTAGCATACATTGAAGAATTAAAAAAATGTTTGAAAGAAAAATTTTAAGAACATGGACGTTAGCTAATTAATTTTTCCCATATTGATGTGGATAATTTTACATTCCATTTCAATGGGATTGTTTGATGTTTAGGTAAACGAAAATTATGATTTAATTCTGAACTTAGGGAAAAGGAATAATAAAAGAAAACCGGCAAAAAAGATCCTGGAGATATTGAAGATTCATGCCGTAAACAGGTAAATTAACAACAAAACACACAATTAAGTTAAACATGTTTAACCAGGGACATATATACTAAGTAAGTATATGGGTCTCTGGTTTAACTATCCTTTAGTTTAGATGATTCTTCGGGTGCATTTAGACAGACATAGAAGAACACAATGCACAAATTAAACCATCCTGAAAACGGATCTTAAGCATACATTTTGATTTGTCCGTGTTAGAATAATTTGGTAAACACTAGTTTCCAAGAAGTGGACCTTATAAAACACTTAAATGGACTGTATGCAGATTTCAAAGAAGAATAACTCTTATTATACCAGTGTACGTTTGCACTACGCCTTCAAAGTTTGGGAGTTATCTTTCTTTTTACTTTGCATATATTGCTTCAAACAGTCCAGTTCATGTGCTTTGGGATTTAGTTTGTATACATATAATGAACTTTTTTTACACTTCATATGATATTATATGAGTTGAACCTATGTTTAATTTTATTGATCCGAAGTATGTTTTCTACCAAGTTTAGCGATATTGTTGTGCATTGCATGGATTTACTTTAATGCCCTGAATTCTCAACGTGGGGATGTAGCTCAGTGGTAGAGCGCTCGCTTTGCATGTGAGAGGCCCCGGGTTCGATCCCCGGCATCTCCAGAACTTTTTTTTTTTTTTTTTTTTTAAATTGTTTTTACTGTGAAAAAGCCAGTTGCATTCCATTACTTACAAATGTATCCAAGTAATTTTGAAAACTTATCGAAAAAAAATTATTTTAAAATCATAAATTAAATATCACGTATATGCTGTTTTATGTACAAGAAATTTTTTTAAGTGCAAATTGCAGCGATTTTCATTGTTTATTATTATCATATATTTAGATATACATAGAAAAACACACAATACACAAAATACACCGTCCTGAAACCGAGCCCCTATGATATAGGCGCCAAATTTTTGTGTATATCGTATCCTGTATATCCTTATAATAGTAAGTACATTTATCCACATGCAAGTATGTGGTGAAAGCAATTAATCTTTGTTACATTCTGTGCTGTTGTACAGTGTATATGGTAGAAAATGGTCACTGTGTTGGAAACTTTAAACATATGAAGCGAACGAGATGTGCACGTCTAATAAAACAACAATATAGGCTAAATCTAATTAAAGAAAAACATGCAGTCCACTGGGGGAAAAAAACTTTTTTGCAGGACATTTACTTCCTTGATAGTATTTTAAGTACAGCAACTAAGGAATTTTCTATTGCTGTTGTACAGGTCACCGTAACAAAAATGGATTTGCTTCATTTATGCCAGAGATGACCTTGAAATGTTCTTCATTATTGTGTTAAAATATAGAGTTAAATTAATCAGAACAAATAACGTAATTGAATAGCACTATTATACCCTTTCTGTCGACATTTATACATGTAATCTTTTAAAGATATATAAAATAATAGTGTAATGTTTTCCCTTTTCTCGAGCCTGGAGTCTTTAATAAGCAGTTTTTCTTTTTCCGTTTGATCGTGGTAAATTTAACCAGCTTCGCTTCCCCCCAGAAGGACAAAGCATTATGAAAATAACTCCAATTCTGTACTACATAACATGAATTCAATTCTCACAATCAATATAATCTAGTTATCCTAAATCCAATAGTCAAATTGCTTGAAAATAGATGAAAGGTTCCAATATTTAACTTGTTTTGTAAAGTTGTTAATCCCATTGAAAAGCCAGTCTTTATATTGGTAATCCCCTTTAAAGGTTTGCGATTTATAGAAAATTTGAAATGACCTTAAGTACTTTTTTTGATTGTTTGACAAATATTCCTTCTAATTTAAAATATGACATCTTAAAACTTGCATTTTTTACTCTGTGTGCAGTTTTATAAATCAATGCATGTGTATTTTTGCCTGAGTTCATTACATATGTACACACATAATGCAGACTTGCATTTTTTTTTTCATTTTATCGGCATTTCCAGTACATGACTAGATCATTATTTGAAAATATTGATCCAATTCTTGCAGTGTGGCACTATTTTTGCACTTTAACAGTGAATCAAAATCACTTTACGTAAAAAATAAAAATAACAGATTAGTGTCAAACTATAGCTAAATCAGAGCAAAGCCCCCCTTATACAACATTTCCTGTTTTTCTGTGACCTTCCAATGTAGGTATGGGTTTAAAACAGACCTACCGACAGTCTGAAATCATTTGTTACATCTAGGTATATTAATATTTTAATTCTTTCCTGATGACTATGTGATACCCTAGAAATGTCCTGAATATTTAACAGAAATTTTATTTGACAGATTAGAAAGTAGGATAAGTTCCCGCGGGATCCAGAAGAAATGAAAGAAGTCAAATAGAGGTGAATATTTTTTTTTTTACCTAGGAAAACGAATTGCTCGTAGATATTATCTACTTGTATTGATTACAGAACTCGTAGCATCTTAGGGTACATGCGTCATTTGCAGAAACATGCAGGCCTAGCATTTATCCATGGAAACGTATATGATTTCCATGGAAACCAGAATGATTTTTCTATTTCAAATGAAAAAAATATTAAGGTTAGGCGAAGAATTCGGTTAATGAATTCTGTGGACAGCATTATTACAGATCCAGAAACTGACAGATTTCTACATAACAACGTCTGGTAGAGATGACATTATGACATGATAATGAAGAAAAAAAAAATGAAGCCTAAAAGAAAAAAAATTATTTTGAATTGTGTGTGTATGAATCAAAACACAAATCCCCTTGATTACATTCCAACATATCAACAAAAAGTTGACTATATAACGACTTAACACTTTTTACAGATAAATACAACACCCATCAAAATAGAGTGTGAGCTATTCTACACAAATCGACCTAAACTATGAAATTTTAATACACTTTTTAAACATGTGGGAAAAAAGCGATCATTTATACTGAGTTGAATAATGTTGCAAAGTGTATGGTATATATCTAACCTACATGTATATAGGTATTTACATGTACATTCTAACACAGACGACAAAAAAAGACCAACATGGACAATTAAGAAAAAATATTTTTATAACGTGAAACGGGATTCGATTTAGCATCCCTAATAAAAATCAATTTCTGGTCACATGACCAAAGAACCAGCAGGTACAACTGCCCCACGGTTAGTGTCAATGTGCGCGTATTTGCACGACCGTTACGGGTAACGCGACCCAGTCTATTGTGACCCAATGTAAATCGCAGTCGAGTTATTTACAAAGTAGGGATTCAGTTTGTACGAATATAATTGGAAAATCGTTAACAGTGTCGTGGATTTTTTGCATCACATTGTTTTAAATGTTGGGAGGGAAAACATCATCAATGAAGTATAATGGATGCGCTTTAATATGAAAAGAAAATGACTACTTCAATATTTTTTTTTTTTGGATCGTTTCTATAAATTTTTAAAAATGCACACTGTGCTTCTTGTATATAGCTAGACAGATAAAGAAAAAATGATACCCCCCCCCCCAAAAAAAAAACGATGTTAAGCTATAAATATACATACTTGAAAAATTAACCCATTCAGAAAATCATATGATTCATGTTTTTACGAAGTCAAAGTAAAAAAAAATGTCCATGATGATAGATTTTAAAGCTAAAAAAATGCTTTAAGACCATCTGAGAACAACTGAAGAAAGATTGTGAATTGAATTGACCTGCAATAGGAAAAGATGTCAGAAATACTGGGTATGTCTCTTCAAAAAGTAAGGTTTGTTCGATTAACCACTCAATAAATAAGTGTGCTCGAATATATAAACTGCGTGTCAAATTTTCTAAAATATAACCATACAGCTTATATAACAAATGTGCTGAAGTAAAGATTACCACCCCGTAGAATGTAACGGGTTAAACGTACACAAGAAACTTTTTTTAAACCAAAACTGTTAAGCAAACATTAACAATTTCTTAAGTTCTGAAAGCTCCGCTTAAAATAAAAGTTGTGTAAAAACAAGTACATTAAGACGAACTGATATAAATTTGGCATCAGCTTAATTGTCAAGTTTTGGAATGATACGGGATACAAACTTAAAGTTTGGAAAAATTTGTGTTAAACAAGTAGCAATTCAAACCTTCTTATCACGAAGAAGTGATCCACATAAAGAGGAACAATAAAGGCGCGGATCTTAAGGAAATTGTGAACGATTCATTGGAGATGCATACCTTGTTTCATGTACTAGCAAAAGGAGGAGCTAGGTTCGGTTGGCATCAACACTTATGGAGATAAGACTTTTTTTATTACATGCAGGTGCGTCTAATGGATAGTCATAAGCTAAATTTCGTTTACCATTAAGGTGTAAACGCCTTTTGTTTCTCTAATACCCTTACAACGAAGTGTTGAGGACTTTATTTGTTCTCCTGAACGTTTCGCTCTTGCAGTCCATTGCACACCTAAAGAAGCATAGGTCGCCTTGCATAAACGTTATAAAGAAGAAGGGTTTAGTAAGATATTGACTATTGAATCATTATGACAGTCTACAGAACCGAAAATTTAAAGCCTATACATTCATAGTTTCATTTTTTTCCTTAATGTTCACCTTTTCAGATTTTTATCATGGATCTTCTTCAGCACGTACCTGTGACGTCGTCAATCAATGAAAAAGGAGGGAAACAGACGACATCTTACTCGCGCTGTTAGATTGTACGTATACACTGGTGGAATGGTGCGTGTATTTTAAAACAGGTAGCAAAATCTCTTGTCGATATTTATATATCTACATAACACCGGTAAAAGGTCTAGTCATTAGAGCGCAATCGAACGACTGGCGAACAGTGATAATGTTTACAAGTGATATAGCGTTGAATTCGCTCTCGATTGTTTAATTACAGTTAATTGGACATAAATGGAAATTAATGAGAATTCTTGACGGAATTTGGTGCTTAATATTACTAATTTGAAAGCATTCAAACGACACTCTATTGAGCTACTTAACAAGATACGAAAGGAATTGGATATTCGTTATTTGTGTATTGGATTTTAATGAATTAAGTGATGATCACTGGATGCAGAAGATAAATCTCTGAAGCAGACGATGGGTTAAAAGGAGATCGAAATGGAGGCTTATGTCAAGAGAACGTACGCCCAGAAGAACCGTCCCGGGGGAACGACCAACAAATACCCGTTCTGGGACTATAGGTAAGAATATAAACGCACCCTTACCCAGCCTCCTACACTGGGGCAATAAGTAAGGAAACTAAACGCACTCTACCACGAACTCTATGTATATTAATCACTATATATGTACCATTAAAATATTATCCCGCGCTTCTCCCGTTATCAAATGACCTACTCTAATTCATCAAAAACTTGCAGTATCTAATCGTCTAAAGGTGTTCATGCATTAACGATGTCTGTATCAATAGATATATTTGATTTAATCGAATCATTTCTATCTAACATTCAAATTGTCAATCTTTGATCCCTGCACTTGAAGGAAAAAAAAAACACATACAATTTACCTTATGTGTGGTTACTTATATGCGTGGTTGCCTTAAGTTTATTTTATGTAGTTGCTTATATGTGTGGTTACCTTCATTTTTGGTAACGTTTATATGTGGTTACCTCATTTATATGTGGTTACCTTTAGGTGTGGCAACCTTTATTTTTGGTTACCTTAATCTGTGGTTACCTATATGTATGTGGCAATTTTTATTTTTGATTATCTTTTTTTATATGTGGTTACTTAGATATTTTGGTTACCTTTATATGTAGTTACCTATATGTGTGGCTACCTTTATTTTTGGTTACCTTTATATGTGGTATACCTATCCACACAGTTTTGTGTGGCTACCTTTATTTTTGGTTACCTTTATATGTGGTCTAGTTTTGCAAACTGTTGTGTCTGAAAACTCTTATTTTTTCATGTTTGTCTTCGTAAAATACACATATGTGTACATACCTCTTGTCTGTCGAATGTATTAAAGAGTTTTTCTAGAGTGGAAAAAATCGAACCTTTTATACGGTAAAAGACATTTATTTTTATTTTATGGCCCACTTTGAACCATGAGGGAATATTTACATAATTTATTAAAGTCTAAGTGTCCCATCGAAGTGTAGTAACGCTTATCAATATATTTATTTTGTGTTCACTAAATAGGTGTATATACTCCTATAGAACTCCATTTCTGACCAATACAAAGTCATCTACAAAATAAATTTACAAAGCTAAACAAGTTTTACAAATAAATGTATATATCTGAACGTTTATAGAACTTTATATATATAACTTCATATCACCGTAACTAGTTCTAACATATAGTGAAAACCAACTCAAAACTGGATTAAAAATGAATGTCTCGAAGAGAGAAATTAAATCCCTTCCTAGTAATGAAATGGCATTTTATTTCCTATAGCTACTGCCATCCAGCCAAATTTTAATGCTAATGTAATTAGAAATTTATTCTGATATGTTATATTGCATATACAAGTGTGCACCTTTATAGCCAATTATATATTCAACGAAGATTATATCAAATAACACTTATATACAAGATTAATGTCTTAATCGGAAATATATTAGCGGTAGAACTGGAAAGGGTTCTTTGTGAGATTGTGTAGCCTGCAATTGAAGACTTGAGTCTTTTTTAAAAGCCTGATTTAATAATCATAAAAAAAGACTTATACGCGAAACTCTCTTATAGCGATTTGTATTCGCTGACAACATATCGATTGTATACCTGTATCATTAATTAGCTTTTCATATCGATTTCGGGGGCGTTTTTTGAACAATATGTTGCAAAAATATAATTATTTTTTTATTTACACGTGCAGATGGGTGGTTTGCCTTAAAGGAAATAAATAAATGCAAACAGTTGCAGCTTTATTTAACGTTTTAATATTGGATCTTTGCCTTTTATGTTAGAGTTGATTACAATTTGCCGAGTACTCTTGGGGCAAAAAAAAGTCAGGAAAACGAAGCAATTTTTAAATTTTTATATCAAAAGTATCAAATCAGTCTTCGATACCTCCCAAAGGCTTATAACCCGAGAAACCTGAAATCTGTATCTTAACCACGATTTTTATTACAATTGACTTTCTCCTTTCCTCTGTGCTTTTGTTGTTAATTTTATCTGTTTCTGGTGTCATCCACGCCCACCCAGCGAAATCATGTCGCCAACCCGTTACTAACCCGATTTTACGGCCCATTGTAGTAATACAACGGACCCTCCCTCGCCATCGGGGGGTGTGATTGTTTGTGGAAAGAAGTCCGGAAAATGGGAGGAAGATACATGAAAGTCGTTCATGTGAAATATACACTGTAAATATTTATAGCTTATTTCCTAAACACTTTCAAGTTATGTTAGGGTCGTGAAAAATGAGAACGTTTTGAAATAATTGCAAAGCATTTTTGAAGCGTTAACTAGCCAAGACACCTTGTCTATCATGGAGTTGTTTTCCCTGTCTTTAATGCATGCTGCGATCTTTTGTCACCGTAAAGACCTTTGATGTTTTCTGTAAGCTTTCAATACACATTAAGCAGGCATCCGCTCTCACTTATTCTGCGCTCTTTGGGTGTGCGGAGCCGACAGGTAAATAAGGCACGTGCAATTATATGCTATTTCTCATTTGAGACAGCACCCTACCGCTAATTGCATTTTGGTTCTCGAATATTGCTTTTCTTTGTAGAAATATATATTTGACAGTCTGTCCAATATTGATACGTCTGTCTTTGCTCGTGTAGAGACATATGGCGAAACTGCTAATTATCAATCAGCAAGAGCCTGCCATGCATAATTAATTAATGTACTGTATTATAATGGAAAGCGAGGAAGACGAGATCTTCAATAAACCAATAAGAATGTTAAGTATAGATCCCTTTCCTGATCAGAGGGTGTTTTGCGGTGAACAAAATGTATCTCTATTTCATGTCATGTTTAATTTTGTTCACATCGGTATGCATAACCATCAAAATGCAACAGCATATTAATTATGGCAGATTTTTTTTTTATTTTATTTCTTCAAGGTATTTATGGTAAAGACCCCCCCCCCCCCCCATTCAAACTTCTTGCTGCAATTTTGATCCAATTCCTTATTAGATTTAGTGGATAAGAAAAAGAACGTTTGAATTTAGAATCCGCCGATTCACTCAGGATCGTCTTATATATATCTTTTTTCATCATATTTGCTCTGACGACGTAAAAACTGATCAAGACGATCGTCGAGTGTTTTTTGGAGATGCTTTCAAAAGATAATTTAATCTGAAGGGTCGTTAGTCAAACAGAGACTTCCGTTAGCTTAGAGATTGTTGAAATAATAAGGTCAGGTATAATACACGGTACACACCGTAGGTGGTATGATGGTCTAGGAACTATTAAGGTCTTGTAATCAAGTTTGATTATTTTAGGACCTTTTGAGATGATTAGGAAATTGTTTGCCTTTTTTCAAGCACCTTCCGTTCATGTTGTCACCTTTTACAATGGGTGTAACCGCAGCCAATGCAAAACGTCATTTGAATAAGCGTACATATTTGTTTGATGACGAAATTCTTCTTGTTGAAAGGTCTCAAAAATATGTTTTTCTTGTCGAAGAACTGACAATAGCGAAGTTATTTGAAGTCCGTTAAGTAGTTGCAAAAACAGGAAAAGTTAATTGGGGTGGTCCACATTGTGTAAATGAATTGTCCGGCTGAATTAATAAACTTGAACTATGAATCATTGTTCATTATGCAGTATAGATAACACTTTATTTTCTGATTCATATGGTATTCTCTATCAAATTCCAGTTATTTTGAACTTGCTACAAGTATCAAAATAGTCTCCAATAGATTTATGGGCCATGTATTCGTATTGACCAGAAAATGAATTACCGGTTTATGAATTTTTGTCTTAATTAATATACACCAAAGGTTTGTGGGCCCGTTTGACAGGGAATACTAATTGCAATCATGTACGACTTTGCACCAATAGTCACCAAATTCATTTCCCGATACTAAACCTTACACGTGCAGTAATAAAATGGCAATCTCGCAGACATTGCAAACAGTGGCATCCTGTGGTTTACATCTTACCTTTGTGTCAGTTTGTATGTATCCCTAATGGGCGTTTGGAATTCTTGTGAATATTGAATTGTGCAGATATAATGGAACGACAAAAACATTTTGTATTTGGATTATTCTCTCTCTCTCCTTCTCTCTCTCTTTCTCTCTCCAACAATGGTTTGACACAAATAAACAGGAAAAGAAGATAAATCTATAATTAAATTAGGAGGTTAATTATTTTGTTTTCGCACCTGCCGACTGTCATATAAATCTTCATCATCTAGGTCGCCAAACCTTGTCCATTTCCAAATACCATGTTTGACAAATTCCCCTTCATTCCTCATCAAAATTCCCCAAGCAGGGTCCGTATACAAGATATGGAAAATTCATACGACAACCTGCCATAGATGCGACCATTGTATTTCGATTGATTTCAATTAAATACGCTCGTGATGTGTCTTGTATTTACCCGAACTTTATTGTTCCTGGGAGACATAAACTGCTACCGTACAGTGGCACTCTTAACTACTTCATTTGTATTAAATTCACAACACCTCGTGATAAGAACATTCGTACTTCACTACACTCAGAGGTTACGAGATTCAACTTTTATAGAGATTATGGGAAGTCTAACATACTGCTGTTGCGATTCTTTAATGTAACGGCCAAATGAGATTATCCATCCGTGCATGGGAGAGAGAAAAATTCCGCGAAGAACCCCTAAATATTTAATGTGGGGCACATGTAACTTTCGTAGTCACAGGCTGAAGAAAATTGGTCATTTCTTACAAAAGTTTGGGGTCTCAGAGAGAGAGAGAGAGAGAGAACTTCTTGTAAGACGATATATTTCATTGTTTTAAGGTCTGACTCAATTTTTTTTTTGTATGATATTTTACATTTAGAGAAAAAGTAGACCATAGGGAGCAGGGTATTTAACAATTGTCTTGGATTTCGTACTGATTGAAAATCAACTCCAGACGGATCCTATTTTAAATTGTATTTTACTATTGAATCATGAAGGAAAAATCGTCAAATTTCTGACAAGACGCCACAAGCTCTTCGTCCTGTAAAACAAGATGTTTACAATATCAACTAAACAAAACTTTTTTTGAAAACCAAGACGTATATGATCGTATGTTAGAATCATATATAAATTACA